TTCTTTGGTCAAATCTGGGGTCCTAATTAAATAATCTTTGCTCTAAAACATATCTAGGAAAATGAAATGATCTAAATTTGACATGCTGTGAGCATCACGAGTAAGTCAGAAGGGGAAGATTGGAGGTGGGAGGGGACATGCCTGTCAGGATGCAAATAAGCTCTGAGCTGGGATGAGATTCTCCTCTGAGTCCAGAGATGCTGAAATTAGGGAGGAGGTAGAACGGGCTGCCGACTTGCCCGGGGTGGGGAAGAATGGTTTGATTTCCTCCTGACAGACTGAAGTCAAGAAAGAGTCAATGGTTGTACTCCATGGGTACCAGGAGAGGGAAGGAAAAGGAAAACCAAAATACCATGAGTGGATAAAGTGGAATGCAGGAAAAGAGATGTATCTATGAGAATCATTTAATAAATGCTGTCCACCATGCACTGTGACCTCCCAATAATTTTCAGCAGAAACTACACATTTTAAGGAATGTGTGATATGATTGGATTTCTTCTAGAAACTGGGTAGGGGACCAAGTTCTGTTGATGAGAGAGGGGACATTGGACACCCTGTGCACAACAAAACCCAGAGCAGTGTGGAACCACAGTTGACCCATACTAGTCCAGAAGAGATGATTGCTGGGCTAAGTAAGGTGGTTCATCCCTATAATCCCAGCTACTTAAGAGGTAGAGGTAGGAAAATCCTACTTTGAGGCCAGCCCAGGCAAAGTTAGTGCAAGATTCTATCTGAAAAACAAATTTGCTAGATAGGGAGACTCCAGCCTGTAATTCTAGCTACTTGGGAGGTAGAGATGGGAAACATGGTTCAAGTCCAGCCTAGGCAAAAAGTTCACACAACCCCATCTCAACTTATGGCTGGGTGCAGTGGCGCACCTGTCATCCCAGCTATGTAAGGAAGAACAAATAGGAGGATGACAGTCCAAGCTGGCCCAAACATAAAGCAAGACCTTATCTCAAAAGTAACCAATGCAAAAAAGGGGGCTGGTGAAGTGTCTCAAGTCACAGAGCGCCTGCCTAGCAAGCACAAGGAGCTGAGTTCAAACCCCAGAATAATTAAAAAAAAAGAAAGAAAGACAATTGTTAAATTTTCAGGAATATTACAAGTTGATCACTGAACACAGCCATAATAAAAAAAATCAAAGTGGAGATAGTTACAATTAAATAAGGTAATTTAAAGTAATAAACACTCAAAATTCATCAGTTTCTAATTATTTTACTTTTCGCCTTGTGTTTTCCACAGTGCACTGCTGGTATGTTACACTGCTGGCTGCAAATGGACCACATTAGGAATATTTTTACCTTGGAATTTGGCAAATGTTACAAATTAAGACTGGGATTATTACTGTATTGACTTACAGATTTAAGAAAGTGATGGAACAACTGCTTAAAACGCTGATTCAACTTACAAGTGTATCACATCTATAGCTGTTATGTAGTGAATGGCGCAAAAGAACTGACATTCTTTTGGGTTTTCAAAAACTATTATTCATTCAGAAACTCGACACCCAAGATGGAAATCCCACTATCTGGAGAGAGAATCTGCGGCACCTACAGAATGGAATCCAGGGTTTGTCCTTGGTGCCAGTCCTTCTGGTCTCCTTAAAAAGACCTTGGCGGTCTCTCCAGCCATGAGATGTAAGGAAACTTTTCTGTTGAACTAGGGGGAGTGTCTAAACTAAGGATCTAAACAAAGATGTTAGAGGTAAACATTCCTTTGAAAATAAAGAAGGCTGTTGCCATGGTGGAATATGGCTGTTCACAGAAAATACGGGATTAAGAGGAGTTTTTGCTTCCTTTGTTGCAGGACACCCTTTGTTGAGGGTGACAAAGGGACAGTAAGACCATAAAATGTGATGCTGTCACAGCAATAAGCAGGTCCCAGCAATGTGGCTGCAGGCCTGAGGCCATGAGAGAGATGGCCAGATGGGCCCTGGGAGGGGCCTGACCTCTGAACTCCAGAGGCCTGACATCCATCGGCCAGTTTGACCTTACTTTTCTGCCTACAATTCACCCATGCTATCCTCAGAAGCAGTTAAAGGCCACTGTTGGTCCCAAGTTTGGGTCTAGGAGGGACCATTCTCCAATCAAAGAGAGCTCCCTTCTGTGCAGAACACAGAGGTGACTAACAGAGTAGCTTGGGGTGACATCAGACAAAAAGTGACAAATGACAGCCAGCAAGCGATATCTATCCTCAGACTCTCCTAGATTCTGAGCAAAGGCTCAAATCATATTATTTTATTATGATGATATTAACGTCACTATGTCACTGTAATAGTATTATTATTGATATAAGAAATTGTAGTTATTTTATAATACTGATGTTATTTTATTGTTCTATAGTTTTACTATATTATATTACAGCAATAACTATTATTATCGTTGAAGCAGCGTGTGCCATCTTCTCCCCCAAAATACCCTCCCCTTCAAATCTAAGCTTATTAAGAAATGTGTCATCACAAAAGTAAACAGACCCTGATGAAGAGTATGGAAGCATTTTCTTTTCTTCCCCCCCTCTACCTTTTTTTTCTTTTGTTTTTTGAGAAGAGTTCTCCCTATGTGGCCCAGGCTGGTATTGAACTCTCAATCCTCCTGCCTCAGCCTCCTGAGTGCTAGGATTACAAGCATGTGTCACCACATCCAGCTTCTTTTTTCTTAAGATGGAGTCTGACTACATTGCCCAGGCTGGTCTCAAACATGTGGGCTTAAGTGACCCTCCTGCCTCAGCCTCACAAGCAGCTGGGACTATAATGTAAATCACTGTAGCCCGCTCTAAGAAGGATTTTGTTAGTAATGGAATACGGTCAGATCAAGTAAGGTCTTCTCTTCCTTGGTTAGGATGTTTTTTGTTTAAAACAACTTCTGGCATCCCAACTGTGCCCCACATAGTTAAAACTGCCAAATTAGTGGCCATTTGGTAAATGGAGTGAGACTACGATTTCTTTGCTGGCTTCTTCATAATTAAAGTCCTGTCATTAATGGGGTCAGGGGTTAGGAAATTGTCAAAATAAAACTAGGGAGACTTAATAGGCTACCAACTTAACTTTGCCTACTAAGAACATTTTATAAAACTACTAAATCCTATTAGCATACAACACTGAATAAAACAAAGGACATTTACCAGCAATTCTTTATAGTGAAAAGCAGATATAGTTCACAATAAAGGATAATCTTTTAAGTGGAATCATTTTAGCTTCATGAAAACTGTCAAGTGGTTCTTATTGTTCTCTTGCCATCGTTGATAGGTGAGAAAATTGTGCCAGCTGGCACGGGTTTGCAGGTGTGCTTCTAGAACACTAAGCTCATGGTTTGAGAGCTATCTGGGAGCTCTTCAACTGAGATAATTTCATACATTTCCCTGACTATGTGGGAAGTGGACTTAAAAAAAAATGTGGCCCATTGTCCCCAGAAAAATTCTGTGAGGCAATGGGAACAGATCTGCTTACTCTGTGTAGGTTCTATACTGTCAGCCAACCAATCCAAAAGCAGCTGTCCTAATCTGAGATGTCTCTGAGTGTCAAGAACATTGAAAACTGCCCTTTTTAGAACAATGGCAAAATCAGATTTATTCCATGGAGTGAAATTCCATTCTTCCCGGCCCCAGAAATGCTATGTCTGTTCGTAATTTTCATTCTTGGGTCACAGCCCCCAGGGGAGCAGGAAGAAGGCCAAATAGGAGAGAGAAATTTTCAATGTGTTTCTTCAGAGCCTGGACTTGTTCTCCGGTACTATAAACAGAAGGGCTGCCTTGCTCCAGCTCCGCCACCCACCCCAGGTACAATTCCCAGATGTCAGCACTGACACAGGTACCTAAGCATGTGACACCTGCCCTGTCAATGTCTCAGAGACACAGTTCTAAAGCAGAGTGCCAGGAACAAAGGAGGTTCCCTTTGTCAGAAAAATAACCAAAGAAGAAGTTTTTACCTTCTTTTGGCCAAGTAAAGCTTTTTTTTTTTTTTAAACTAAAACCAATGACCCCAAAATAACTTTGAGTAACCAACCTCCCCCCCCACCTATTCTATCTACTTTCCAGCATTTGGAAGAACTGGGAGGAACCAAAGGGACAAAGGTTGAACTCATTACCTTCTTCCAGGAGCATTTTCTGCTGACCTGAAATAATTTCCATACATTTCCCTAAATGTATGAGAGTTAATTGCCAATTTGCATTTTGGTTTCAGTATTCAGGTCTCCAGATGGAAACATAAGCCCTGATTTTAAGAAAAATAGATGGAGGAAAAACCTCTGAAACTCATTTTCCAATGCCCGAAAGGCTCGTGGAAACCAAGCTTAATATTTTTTCTTCTTTAGTAGGCCCTTTGAAAATGTGTAGAGGAACTGTCCCCAGGGTTTGGGTTTGGGTTGGTTATGGGGTTGTGTTTACAACAGAGGACTTACTCTTCACTCCAGCCTCTCCACGTCATTAATTCATAAAGGGGTCCAGGGTTTTAATTTTCCGATAGGCCTCAAATTTGACATTAGCACCTCTTATAGGCCTGAAACTATGATTAACACCCCAAACTTTCCTTGTGAGTCCTCATGTTCTGAAAGACTTTTCTACGTCCTTCAACACTGGCCCACTTAAAGTATTCACTTAAATGTCTCTGCTTCTACTAAAAAAAAAAAAAATGATGAATGAGTTCTGGAAAGCGGCTTCAAGAGCAGGCTCAGTGAGAACAGACAGGGGACAGCTCAGTGTCTGGCATACTGATTTAGATGCAAGGTTTGGTAACGTGTGTTTAGCTGTGACCCTAAAATCTGCTCATCTTACAACTTGCCCATCTGGTCTAATTTGCTTTCTCCTGTTATAAAAATGCCCATGACAGCATGCATTGTGTGTGGTATGGTAACAATGAGGCCTTGTCTGTCACATGCTTCATTGAAAGAGACTTCTTTCTCATCCTGGATTTACAAAGCTCCCAGTCTTCCATGGCATTTTGCGGTAGAGTTCTGCCAATGTCCCCAGATGCCCCAGCCCTCTGCCATTTGGGAGATCCATACCTTGTAACCAGGTTTCCGCCCTCTTTTCTTTGGGATCTTCATGGCTGGTAGTGAACCAGTGGCAGCAGAGTAAAGGTGATGAACTGCCATCTTCATAGGTGTGGAGTGCAGTGGGGGTCGGCCTCGCTTCCTCCCTGGCACCCTCTGAGTCTGCATCTCTGCTGGTGCCAGTCTTACAGTGAGGTGACAAACCGCTTGCAGGCAGAAGAGGTGCTAAGAATTAGTCCAGACACAAAGCAAAACAAAAAAAAACAGAAGCTTTGTTTGGTTTTCAAGGCAAACTACAGATTGACTTTGATGATCTGGGCAATTCCTTCCACTATGGAAGGGGAAACCCAATCTGAGAGAGCCAGGCACCACCAGGGCGCTTACAGTGCATTGACCATGGGGGAGTTCACTGGCTCCCTGATGTTGCTTCAAGGAAGGGAAGATTCTGGCTAGGTGGAGAAGACAATAAATTCCTGGCTCCAAATACAGCTGAGAGAGTCACCAGCCACAAGATGACTTTGGGTCTCAGTTTCTCTGTTCAACTTTGGCCTATTGTAACAGTAGCAGTAATTAAACACAGCCATTCTCTCCTATTTACTCCTGTCCCTTTGATTGGGTTATAAACTGTCATGACATTTTTTTGCCTTGAAAGAAATTTAACCAGTAATCAGTCATATGAAAGTCAATGGTGTCCTTCTTTCAAAATGTGGACAGAGATTTACACACAGAGATATTCATTTTAATATTATTTAGAACTGAGAAAATAAAATGGATACAACTTAAGTAACAAGCAATAAGGGAATCATTAATATATTTACAGAATAAAATGATCAACTGGTTAAAAGTCTTTAGCAATGCTATTTGGATAACATGATGTTGAGTGAAAGAAGTATCAGACTGATTGTGCATAAAAATGGTTGCAACTATGCAAAAATTTTCATGTTAAAAAAAGTGGAAGGAGACATGCTAAAATGATGGTCAGCAAGCTGGTGGGCTGTGGGTAATCTTTCACCACAGGCAATGCTTTCTACTGATCCCCCCACTATAAGAATCTTCACTACTGATCCCCCCACTATAAGAATCTTCACATAGCATTAAACTTGCTAATGAGAAGCTTCTTAAGTAGAATTGTCTAAATTTTCATGCAAGGGGCAGCTGATCATCCAGAGAACACAGTGGTATCAGAAACTCCAGGGTCAGATGTCTTAGAACATCCAGAATGTGACAAGCAGGGCAGAACTTTACACTTTTAACTCAAGGTGGTGTTAGGTGATAAAATCACTTCTAAAGACTAGTGGAAACTTCCGGTGGGGATGAGAGGCTCTTGCTTGGAAGGTGGCAGCAGAAGCTGGAAAAGATGAGGGGAACAGTCCCATACTGCCTGGCAGCTCAGCAGGGACAAGATTGCTGTGCTTGGGAAGGAAAGTATAAAATAGTGGAAACTCTTAAAAACATGGCAGGAGAAAATTTTGTTCTTGAAAATATCTTTTTTTTTTTTTTTTGGTGCTAGGGATCGAATCTTGGGCTTTGTGCATGCTAAGTAAGTACTCCACCACTGAGCTACACCTCCAACCCTAATAAATAGAATTCTTTAATATAAATTTATGTACTGACTGCACTGTTTAATATTTCAGATAGAAGAACAAGCAGTTAAAAATATCAATTTTGGGACTGGTGGAGTGGCTTAAGTGATAGAGTGCCTGCCTAGAAAGTGAAAGGCCCTGAGTTCAAACCCCGGTACCACCAAAAACAAAAGCAAAAACCAAACAAACAAAAATGCCAATTTTCCCTGAGTCTAAGAAAAATATCCTATCTCGTTGATTCTATGCTGCATTTTTTCACACATTCACACCTCCGGAATCAGAATACACTGTGCACTTTGAGTATCAGAATTCCATAGGGAACATTTTTTTCTTTCTTAGTAAAACATAAAATCATGATGTGATGTAATTAAAAGCAAGTTAAAGTCAATAAATTATGATCAGTGACCAAAACTCATTAACAACTAAGCAAAAAAAATTCTATGTGTGAACTAAGTATCTATGCTCCCCAGCACCAATATCCAAAATATTCATTTCAAAAAAAGAGGCTACCAAAAACATTGACGAGCCAACAAAATGCATTCAGTAAGATTTTTATTAGGTGAAAATTGATTTGAGTTCCATTTTGACCTGTCATTATTAAGTTTCTGCTTCTCCATTACTAGCTTATTTTTACAGGCTTTAGAAATAGGAATTTTCCCAGTATAGAGCATTTTTCTTTAGCTTTCTACTTGGTCTTTAGTGGGGAAGTCAGCATCATATGCATTGACATCAAGATCAAAGTCAACAAGAAAAACCCATGACCGGAAACGGCATTGAGCCTCCTTCTTCTCTCCTGAGAGGTCCTTTCAGAGGGTGAACTGGCTGCATCCTTCACAGTGAATGTAATGCTCTGCTGGCTGAGAGACTTCCCACGAAGTCCTCTCCTTCTCCCTCTGTCTCTGTCTCTCTGTCTGTCTGTCTCTCTCTCTCTCCCTCGGTGGTACAAAGGGGTTCAAATTCAGGGCCTCGCGCTTACTAGGCAGGTGCTCTACCACCAGAGTCACGACCCCAGCCCTTTTGCTGTTTTAGTTTGTTTTCCAGGTAGGGTTTCTCACTGTTGCGTGGACCAACCTCAGACCAAGATTCTCCTACCTCGACCTCCTGAGTAGCTGGGAGTATAGTGATATTCCACCATGCCTGGCACCCTCATAAAATTTCTCTTACTAGGTTTTGAGGAGTAAAGGAAGGGTAACAAACTAACCAGCACAGTATCTTAAGAACTTTTTCTTCTTTTTTACAAAATTCAATTATGTTTCTATGTATCAGCATCAAATAATAGAAAATGAAGTTTAGAGCAATATGACTTAGGGGCTGGGAATGTAGCTCAGTGGTAGAATGCTTGCCTTAAACACACAAGGCCCTGAGTTCAATCCCCAGCACCACAAACAACAACAAAAAAATATGACTTAAAATGGCAACAAAGTATCAAATATAAGTAAATCTAACAAGAATTTTTTTTCTTTTATTATTCATATGTGCATACAAGGCTTGGGTCATTTCTCCCCCATGCCCCCACCCCCTCCCTTACCACCCACTCCAGCCCCCTCCCTCTCCGCCCCACCCCCTCAATACCCAGCAGAAACTATTTTGCCCTTATCTCTAATTTTGTTGTAGAGAGAGTATAAGCAATAATAGGAAGGAACAAGGGGTTTTGCTAGTTGAGATAAGGATAGCTATACAGGGAGTTGACTCACATTGATTTCCTGTGCGTGGGTGTTACCTTCTAGGTTGATTCTTTTTGATCTAACCTTTTCTCTAGTTCCTGGTCCCCTTTTCCTATTGGCCTCAGTTGCTTTAAGGTATCTGCTTTAGTTTCTCTGTGTTAAGGGCAACAAATGCTAGCTAATTTTTTAGGTGTCTTAGCTACCCTCACCCCTCCCTTGTGTGCTCTCGCTTTTATCATGTGCTCAAAGTCCAATCCCATTTCTAACAAGAATTTTTATCATTTGCAATTAAACTTAACTTTCCCAAAATTTCTCAACATGTCAAAAAATTTTCTAGAAAAAATTCACCTTTTCAACTAGGTTTTCGATGTTCCACTTCCCTCTCCCTGTTATGAGGAAAACCCAGGACTTGGGCTGTTTTCTACTTGCTGCCTTCCCCAGAAGAGCATGCGTCATAGACAGTGTGCAGGACTTCCTGGGAACCTAAGTCTGACGAAGGGATTTCATGCTAAAGGAGCAGCATAGAGCCACTCTCCGTGGGTGTTGGACACCGCAGGGATGGGGAGATGTTTGGAGACCAGGAGTCTCCTAAGTCTACTCAGCTCACCACCAATTTATCCACTAACCAGGAATATTTTCCCCAGTTGCATGTCACAAACAAGAACAAATTTAAGTAATGAGGCCACTTAAGTGAATAACAACAAGTGAATTCATTTGAGCTGAGGGGTCTCTCCAAGTAGCTCCTTGGGATAATTTTAAAGAGTTTGGGGAATGCACAAATAGAGTACATTCACTGTCTTTTGTTTTGTCTGCGTTTTTGAGGTAGGGTCTTTCTATGTAGTTCCAGGCTGGCCTTGAACTCACTATCCTCCTGCCTGAGCTCCTGAGTGCTGGGATTACAGGTGTGCATCATCACACCTATCTCCATTCACTTTCTCTCTCTTTTCTTTATCTCTCACTTTCCTGCTTCCTCTCTCTCTCTCTCTTCCTCCCATTTTTTTTTCTTTCTTTCTACAATGCTGGGGTTTGAACTCAAGGCCTCTAGCTTGCTAACAGACGCCCTACTGCTTGAGCTGCACCCCCAGCCCTCTATTCATTCACCTTGAGTAACAGGCCCAGACACTGGAAAAGATGGAACCAAAAGTGCAGGTACCCCAAAATCTCCCTTTCAAAACTAAAGTTTGAACAAAAAATGTAAAAATACCAAAAGTAAATACTAAAAATAAGGAAGGGTCCCAAGCTTGGAATCCAGTGGAAGCAAGACAGAGGGAGTTTCGTTAGGGAGAGCACAACTGTGGACAGTAGATCATGAAAATTTACCTTCAGTTTAAGGAAAAGTTCAAAACTAATAGAAAGAAAACTATTCGGGGATGTATTAAGACGCTGTCTTCCAGATTAAAAAGTCTCTTTGTCTTAAGAAAAATTATGAAGACAAATTCTAATGAAAAAAATATACTCAAAAGCAAAGGGAAAATCTGTAAGTTTTTAGGAAGAGCAGATCATTTATACTGGGGACTATAAATACTCTAGTTCTCTTCAGCACCATTAGCTGCAAGATAATGGAGATGCCAAGCTTATCCCTTTTTCAGATATTTCTAGTTGCCACTCACCACAGGGCCTTTGCATATGTAGCTCCCCTAGCCTGGAATGAATGCTCTTTGTTCCCTTTCTGGTTTATTCCTCTCATTCTTTGTTAGTTAGCTCAGGGAAGCTTGCCTGACCTCTCATTGGGGTTTCTTAAACTCAAGAGTTCCTCAGCTGTGGTGCAAATCCATTGCAGTGCTCACTGTGGCATGTGGACAGAGGAAGCCAATGGGAACTTGAAGCTTTTGTGACCTGCTGTGTCTCTGACCTAGGAGTTGTTTGTCTTCAACTGGGCTCAGTGGCAGCTAACTTGTTTACTTACATAGAGGTAAAATCTCAGGCCCTTCCCAGGTCTCCATGAAGCTTTTATAAGAAGTAAGACTCAAATGAAGAA